TTTCTTTCTCTTTTTCTTTCTGTTTTGGATTCGGCGGGTGGTGGGTAGGGGGTGGTGGGTGGGGGGTGGGGGTAGGTTGGGGGTGTAGGGAGGGTGACTTAAAGTGGCTTACCTGATGATCTGATTTCAATGATCGTCTTTAAGAATCACAGACAAGAGGACACGTTACGAATCGGCCACAGAGAGAAGAAGAGAGAAGATAAAGAAGAAAGAGCAGGACACGGCGTTAAAGGGGGACAATATACTCGTTCAGAATCACCTTAGGACGCCTGTGTCGTAGCGGTGTGTTCACAGGAGTTCACGCTCAGCGGTGAACCTTGACAGTTCATAGTCTCCCTTCCCCGGCCGCCCTCCGGTCAAACACTCTCGACAAACACGCGCGGACAACTGGCTAAGAGGGCCACTCTACGAACGGCGGGAGGCCATGGCCCGAGAGGAGGACGAGGAAGCCCGAGAGACAATCTCGCTCTTGGTGGGAATTGTTGACTATCGGGAACAGAGGTCGGAGGCCCGCTCTCCCCCTCCGCCACACAGGGGCCCGGGCTGGAGCGCGTGCGTCCGTGCCCCACCGCAGTTGAGCGAGGACTGGCTGCTGGCCCGCCACGTTCCTCCTCTCCTCCTCCTCCTCCTCCTCCTCCTCCTCCTCCTCCTCCGCCTCCTCTTCTTCCTGGTGGTGTTGCTCTTACTCTTCATCCTCTTTCGTCTCTTTCTCTTACCCTTTTTCCATGTTCTGTTTCTGTTCCTTCTCTCTATTCTTCATTCGTAATCTCTTCCCTCATTTTCCTTCTCCTTCTCCTTCTCGTTACCTCCTCTTCGTCTTTCATCCTGTGCTCCCTCCTGCTCTTTATCCACCCCTTCCTCCTCCTCCTCCTCCTCTCCAGCTCTTCCTCCGCTCTTACTCTTTAATCCCAACCTCTCCCTCTTCTTTCTCCTTCTCCGTCTCCCCCCTTCTTCCCCCGCTATTCCATCTTCTTCCTCTCCTCTCCTTTCCCACCTTCCTCCTCCAACTCTCCCTCCTCTCTTTTCTTCTCTTCTCCTCCTTCTCCACTTCCTTCCCCGCTTTTATCCTCCTTCCCTGCTTTATCTTCCTCCTCTTCTTCTTCCTCCTCCTCTTCCCCTTTTTCTCACCTCCCCTCTTTTTCCCTCCTATACAACCTCCCATTTCCAGGTTCTCTTCGTCAAGTCACCTGCGCTCAAACCCGACCTTTGAACTTTGAACTTTTCTCCCTTCCTCTCCCGTCTCTTTTAAGGGAGGTGAACGGGGTGGGGGGTGGGGGTGGGGGGAGGGGGAGATGGTGAAGGGGGGAAGGGGGGAGGGGAAGGGGGAGGGAGGAAGGGGGAAGGGGGAGGGGGAAAGGGGAGGGGGAGGGGAAGGGAAGGTGAAGGGGGGAGGGGAAATGGGGGAAGGGGAAGAAAAGGTAAAGGGGGGAATGGGAGGGGGATGGGGGGAAGAGAAAGTGAAGGGGGAAGGGGGACGGGGGAGGGGGAAATGGGGGGAAGAAAAGGTGAAGGGGTGGGGGGAAGGGGAAGGTGAAGGGGGAGGGGGAAATGGAGGGAAGAAAAGGTGAAGGGGGGGAAAGGGAGGGGGAAATGGGGGAAGAAAAGGTGAAGGGGGGAAGGGGGGAAGAGAAGATGAAGGGGGGGGAGGGGGGAGGGGGAAATGGGGGGAAGAAAAGGTGAAGGGGGGGAAAGGGAGGGGGAAATGGGGGAAGAGAAGATGAAGGGGGAGAGGGGAAGTAAGAGGGAAGATAAGATAAATGGAGAGGGGAGAGAATATGAAAAGGGAGGGGGAAAGTGAAGGGGGTGGGGGGGGGAGTGGAGATAAAAAGGAGGCGGAAGAGAAGATAAGGGAGGAAGGGGGGGGGAAGTGAGTTGATCGGGAGGTAAGGAACCTGGGAGGAGGGGGGGGGAGTGAAGGAGAGGAAAGGGATGAGAGAGAAAGGAAAGTAAACAAGGGTGAAAGAAGAGGAAGAGAAGAGAAAGGGAGTTCTATCTGTCTCTTTCTCTCCCTTTTCTCTCTTTTCTCGGCCCTCTCACTCTCTCCTCTTTCTCTTTCTTTCTCTCTCGTCGCCTTCATCCCTTTCCTTACAGCCCCCTTCCCATCCCATTCTGACCCCCCTCCCCCCCTCCCACTCTCTAACTCTAACCCTTTCCCCCATCCCCCTCCTTTATCCATTCTCCCTTTCCTTTCTCTCCTCTCCCTCCTCTCTCCCCCTCCATCACCCTCCTACCTTCCTCCCCCATCCTCTCTCCTCTCTTCTCTCCTCCCCCATCCCCTTCTCCCCTCCTCCCAATTCTCTCCTCTCTCCTCCCCCTCCCATCCTCTCTACTCTCTCTCTTCTCCCTCCTCTTTCCTCTCTCTTCCATCCCCCTCCCTCCCCCCTCCCCCTCCCTCCTCTCTCCTCTCTCATCCCTCCTCTCTCCTCTCTCTTCCTTCCTCCTATCCTTCTCTCTTCTCTCTTCCCTCCCCCTCTCTCCACTCACCTCTCTCCTCCCCCTCCCTCCTCTTACCCTTCCCTCCTCCTACCCTTCTCTCCTCCCTCCTCTCCCCCCCCCTCCT